GAAGACCAGGAGCGAATTGATGCATTTCAAATTATGATGTTGGCAAAGAATATTAATATGCTATGGGAAAAAGAGAAGCTTCTGTGAGTCAGCAGTGACCAATGGCAGTGAGATGGACTGCTGGAAAACCAACAACTCTGTTGTGGAAGGAGTACAGAGAGGTGAGCTTAGAGAGACGTTATCTCACCTACTTTGGACATGTTAGGAGGGACATGTTCTTGGAAAGGGACATAATGCTTGGTAAAGTAGACGGCCAGCTAAACAGGAAGATCATCAACAAGATGGATTGATTGACACAGTGGCTGCAACAATGGGCTCAAACAGAAACGATTGAGTCTTACAGGTGTTTCATTCTGTTGTACATTGTGTTAGGCTGGGTTGACTAGAGAAACAAATCCAGTGACACGCATATAAGAGTAATGCACATGCAAGAGAGAGCTATAAATATCAAGAAGTAATTCTATATCAAGCAAACCTCCCAGTCCAGATAAAGTCAGTAAGTCGTATACTAGTTCATAAGTCCAACACTAGTCCATAAATCCCTCTTCAGACTCACACAGCCACATGCAATGCTGCAGAATGCAGGAAGATCACAGACCAGTGGTTGCAAAGTCTTGCGGATCCAATGACTGTGGAAGCATCACAGGGCTTGTGCAGGTCTTAGTATGGCTCTTCAACAGGAAGGTGAAGGCAGAGACAGAGGGGGAGGTTCACAGGACCCTCCTATGAGAACATCACACTCACAAGGAAGCATCGTCAGGCTACGACATGATTGACAGTCCAGGCTCCACACCGCCACTTTTATTTCTTCCAGTTGACACAAAGTTATGTAACTAGCACATACAGCGAGCTGCTTTGAGTCAGATCTGACTCGACTTCCCCTAACAACAACAGGAACAACAGCACATCATACAATAAGAAGTTGAATGTCAGTCGTTCCCACAGGTGAATGTGGGCAGGTGACCCAATCTTAGTTTCTATGTCTGTAAAGTGGGTGTGAGATTCCAGAATGGTGCAAAATGGTTTGCTCTCAACTACTAAAGTTTGGGGGTTCAGACCTGCCGTACGGCTTGGCAATCTGCTCCCCTAAAGACTACAGCCGAGAACACCCTAGGGAGCAGTCCCGCTCTAGAACCTGTGGGGGCTGTGATCGAGTCAGCACCAACCCAAAGGCGAGTGGTTTAGCCTTTGCTTGGTTTCTGTTTTCAGACGGCTGGGGCGTTCCTCCTTCACCAGGTAGCTGTGCGATGGAGGGTGCTTGGCAGAGACCTGGACCGCGCGCTCCGTTGATGAGCTGCTGGCTCCGTGCTGTTGTATTCCTGGCACAGGGAGATACTGCCTGGGGGAGAAGGAAAAGCAGGAGGCCCCAGGCGTCTGAGGGAGAGGAAGATGCCAGCCTGCCCTAATGCCCCAAGAAACGCTGCAGGAGGTGATAGCTGAGGAAAGATCTTTGCGTTTAGTCATTGCTACCTTTTTTTTTTTGAAGAACACTTTTAGCAACGTGTGCTGTGGGTGGCAAGTTGTAAGTGCTTGAGGAAGGAGTGGGCGGGAAGGAAATGAAAGTCCGGCATGCAATCTTCTTCTCTTTTAAGACAGAAATACAATCAGGTAGTCGCGGGGTCAGAGGCAGGGTTCTTGGTACTGCTGGGAGAGGCCCGGCATGTCTGTCAGGCAGGAGCAAATCTCCTAGGAGAGGATGGTCCCCGAGGATGAATGCCCTTCTCCTCTCTTGGCTGAAACACATTCTGCGCTCAGAGCCTTTAGTCCAGCGGTTCTCAACCTGTGGGTCGCGACCCCTTTGGGTTCATGAAGTAACAATGAAAATAATGTTATGGTTGGGGGTCACCACCACATGAGGAACTGTATGAAAGGGTCGCAGCATGAGGAAGGTTGAAAACCACTGCTCTAGTCTGTTCCCTCCCCGGGACATGGTTGCATTAATTCTCTCACGGCCTTGCAGCTGGGGAAACCCAAGGTCTAGTGGGCTTGATGGGCAATTGAAACCCTTGGTAAATAGGTTGAATTTGTCTGACCTGCAGTTCCCCGACCTATAAAACAAGGACAGTAATGCCCACCTTACAGGGATATTTGCACACCAGCCTGTGAGATCA